ATCCTAAACAAAATCTTACAAGGCAAGAAAAAAATTAAGGAGAATATACGATCTCTCACTATATATGGTATGCTTGGGCCTTTTAAATGATTATTAACATAATAAAAATGCAATACATAGATGAGAGAATTACATGGTAACACAAGTAGTGACTGTTTTATTAGCAGCAAACTTGTAGAGTTGCAAATATAATTGCATCAAAAGAAACAATTAGAGGACAAGAGCTTTGTTTCTTCCCTATTCAGTCTTTCCATTCGTTTCCACACTGATGTGCTTGCCTAAACATAGGAATCTGGTGCCATTTGACTTGGCACTGCCATTCCAGCAGTCACGTTCCTTGGTCACATCTGCTGTGCAGATGTCTGAGATACCCCAGAGCATATCAAGCAGTACTAGATGACCACATTTAGACAAGTAGGTTCAATTCATTACATCAGCAGAACTTACATTGACCATAAGGTTATGTCTGATACTCTCATTTGTTTTCCTTGATGTATTTGAAAGGAGAAAATTAGTATCAATGAGTTGAGCTATTTTATACTGACAAGCAGAACGCACATTTCTAACTAACTATGATGTAAGGCATTAAGTGTAAAGGTGCTGATACAACTTAACTGACTCATGATATATGATAGTAAGATGGAGTGTGTTTGCATTTGTGTGCAGCCTAGATTAGTCACTCTGAGTCACAAGGGCATATACCCTTAGAACAGACTTTGAAATCCACTCCATGTAGTAGATGCAAAAACCCTTTGGGTGAATTAAAAGTAAAGGATATTATGACTCAATTTTTAGAAACTAGTATTATAATCAGTGTCAGGTAGGAGCCAAGGACTTGAGTAACGAGCTCTCAGAAATGTCAAACATTCCAAACTAGCTGCTTTCTGTTGTCAAAAGGAAATTACTTCTTATGGTTGCTGGACTCTTTGATCTCTTGGAATAAGTACTCACTAGCAACACAATTATCGAATCAAAATTGTTAATATCTTTATGATAAGCTAAACATAGTTTATTAATTGAAATATTTTTAAGGATCCCTGCCTAAATATAGCAATGCTTCTAGTACTGTCAGCTTCCTAAGAATTCCTGTGTATGGTATGTGTCTAGAGTTCTTTACAAGACTTGCAGAAAAAGGTCTGCAAGGCTTTTATGGGTTAACCCCAGCAGGCAGCTCAGTCCCACACAGCTGCTTGCTCACTCCCCTGCCAGATGGGGGAGAGAATTGAAAGGGTAAAAGTGAAAACCTTCTGGGTTCAGATAAACACAGTTTCATAGGTAAATCCAAAACTTTGTGCAAGCAAAACAAAAGAAGGAATTAATTCCCCACTTCCCACGGGCAGGCAGGTGTTCAGCCATCCCCAGGAAAGCAGGGCTCCATCTTGTGTAACAGTGACTTGGCAAAACAAACTTCATCACTCTGAATGTACCCCCATACCTCATTCTTCCTCTGGCTTTTATTGCTGATCATGACACCATATGGTTAGGATATCCCTTAGGTCAGTTGGGGTCAGCTGTCCCAGCTCTGTCTCCTCCCAAACTCCTATGCTCCCCCAGTCCTCACTGGTGGGGCAGCGTGAGAAGCAGAGGAAAGCAGCACTGTTCAGCAACAGATAAAACATTCCTGTGATGTCAGCATTTTTTTAATCACAAATCCAAGACAGCACCCTATGAGCTGCTATGAAGGAAATCTACCCAGAAGAAAGGCCCAGCCAATGTGTCAGTAGTGAAATCACAATCACAAGAGAGTTTTTGAGGGGACAGGAGAAAGTTTAACGTCTAGCCAGAGGGAACTAGTCTGGAGCATAGAGACCACGGTACTTACAGAAAAGTATATGGTTGGGTCAGTTTAGTCACCTGTTTAACAGCAGATGTGTGAGTTGGTATGTGTCAGCCTCACACACTTCTTGTCTCAGAGTTATTTCTCCTCCTTAGGCAAAGCAAAGACTGTCTGGAACAGATCTTATTATCAACTCATAGCACACTTTGGCTGCTCAGCAGCAGAAAGGAACCTTTCAGGTACTTTACGATTTTCTAGCACAATGAGAAACCTGAAGAGGAGGGAAAAGGTCATTTCTGCTGGGCACTGTGAAAGGCCAGGATACAATTTACATCAGAAGTCCCAGATTAAGTGCTTCTCTTTTGAAGGCTATTAAAAACATACAGGCCAGGGTTTACTTGGACATGTTAGTTTGTGGTTCCCAAGTTTAGAAGATGGGACAGGTGTAAAGTTGCCCCTGTGTGCATTCTTGCTAGGTGGTGTGTACATGGCTCTAGGATACCTGGGGAAATGCCTGTCTCTGCTCTGTAGTAATGTAATGTTGAACATCACTGTTACTATTAAAAATGTGTCTCTGCCAATCATGTTTTTTTTTCAGAAAAGTGAAAAAGAAATATTCCACTCAGTATTAGAGCAGCACAGAATTATTGCATTTGAGAATTTATTATTTTTTTTTTTGCAAATGACATTTATCTCTCTCAGTTCGGCAACATTTACAGGGTGGATGTGAACTTCTTGATTTAGAGACAATTCAGGCTTCTATTTGTATACTCAGTAGAAATGTACTCAGTAGAAATGGGGGTCTGTAAATGCCAATGAGATGATAACAAAGCACATTGTGAAACTGCTGAGCATCACTTCTAAGCTTTACACTATATTTGCAACTTCTGATGTGCATAAGGTCAGGGAATAAGATTCCTTTTCTTCCAGAATACTGTTGATGGGGAAATGGGGCTGCCAAAATGTTGTTGTTTACTGGAAAGCCTTTTTCTATGGTTTTGCAGGAAGGTGCCCAAAGTATTTGTAATGTTCTTGATGCCATGGGCTCCTGTAATTGCTGTGGAGAAACTGTTTATCACTGTATTCCCAGAAAACTGCTTGGAGATGGCTGATGTTCCTTTTGCTATGACATAAAGCAAATTAAGGAGCATAGGGGTGATGTGCAGTGCTATGTGCAGGCATAGTTTTTAGAGCTGTCCAAAAATGAGCTGAACTGGGGATTCTGCCATTCTAGCAGGAAATTGAAGAGCAGTTCTTCAGAACTGGTTTTGTGTGAAATTATGTTATAAAAGATACTTTTAGAATTGTATTTGAAAACAGTTTTAGAAACCTTGTTTGAGAAACATTGGACTATCTAGAGTCCTATTTAGCAAACAGGAGACTCACATGGAGAGCGAGGATCTTTTGGGGGTATCCATCAAAGTGCAAATGTTTGTACACTGGGTAGCTACATGGGAATTTGTCACTGTGGGTTCTCTTCATTGTGTGTAGAAAAATATCCAATGAAGCCTGCATTGATTGCTGACATTGATACAAGAAGTGCTTCCTAGAAGGGCCTATGAAGAGACCCTACATCGCCCGAGCTGTTTGTGTTTGCAGTGTAGACACCTAATGCTTGGTGCAACAGATTCCTGCCCACGAGAGTCCCTAGGCATGTAGTGAGGCTCTGCATACATACAGCAGACTCTTTATAGACAGCAATTAAGTAATACTTCAGATTTTACAATTTTAACCAGCCTGGGACACCAATTTCAAAAAAAAAAAAAAAGCAATATTTGTGCAGTATTTTATCTGAGAAAATTTCTTATGGATTTCTTACAGTCTTTCTGATGACATGAAACTTTGTGAAGTCTATACTTTCTGTATTTATCCCTGCAGTAAATTAGTATTATGTAAAGCAAACAAAACATTAAAGTATCAGGGCTGTTGTCAAAAAGGCCATCACAGCTTACTTCTCCAATTAAAAAAAGAGTTTCCTGTGGCACAGTGTACACCACTTTTAGCTCCTAACAAGCATGACAGTTGCTGTGAATGCACTTAGGATCTCTGGCAGTTGTTTCCCATATTTTTCTCCTGCAACCATATCTACAATAGTGCAGTTGTAAGATTCTTCGTTCCATTTCACATTTGATTTTGTCTTTTCCATATATCTGTAATATTTGCAGAGTGAATGTTCAGCTAATTTCAACATAAATCAGGATTGCTAAAATTACCTCTTTACTTGGCCTTTTAAAATTCTATAAAAAAACATAAATTAAGTGATTTGTGTTTCCTTTTGCTGTTTTAGTTTATCTAAGTTTTTCTTCCTTGCTACTTTTTACAAACATCATCTGAGATGGTAAGTGCTAATCATGTGGACTAAATACTGCCATACTGTCTGTTACACCTAGCACATTTTACATTGCTATTAAAACCTTTCATTTCATAACAGAATAAAAAAACTTTACAGTTTTAATATTTTATCTAGCTTGAGTGGAAACTAATGTCAGTCTAATGACTTTGTTGTAGGCATAAATGAAGAAGCAGATTAATTCTGAGAATATTTAGTACTATTTTTCCTGATGCTGTCATTCAGAATAGAATTTAATGTAACATGTAGCTGGCAAATTTGCAGATAACTGCAGTTAATCAGCAGACTGTGCATTTCAGCCTGCTTTTCGTCTGTTGAAAAATTTCCTTTCTAAGTTTTAGCAAGTAACTTTACTAAAGAAAGAAAGGGTTGTTCAGGTCACAATTTTAAAAAGTATTTGAAATTTAGAGGAAATTAATGAGACTTAAATATGTCTTTAAAATTAAATTCATGTATAGATGCATTACAAAGTGCACTAGAGCATAAGGACTGAGATGAATTCTCTCTTTTAGAGATAATCTGCTCATTCAAACTGGCTTATTCTTCCCAGTTTGATTGTGTTTATGGAAGTTGATGAATCTGACTGATACTTTATTTGACCTTGTTGACATGGTATAATCAACTGGAATGGTACCAGTTGGGTGTCTTTAGTTTTGAGTTCCTGAGGATGAATTTTCTGCTGAAGTCAATAGGCTTGTGATGCCACATTGCAAAAATGTGTTGGAATAGAGATAGAGCATTCTCATCATGTACTATAGTGTAGAGTGAAAATAATGCTATAGCCTTCAGAGCTATTTAATGGACAATTATATCACTTCACAGCCAATTTTGCATATCAGTAAGTGGTTTCTGCATATATATTTTTCTGTGCAGGTCAACTTCTATGTGAGGGTGAAAGCAGTTTATACTCTTGGACACAGCGTATCTCTGATTGCTCTTACAACAGGAAGTATAATTCTTTGCCTTTTCAGGTATGTATTTTTCATGAGTAAATATTAACACTAAGATGGCTTTAACTGTTGTCTGATTGTCCAGATATTTAGGAAATGCATTGGGTTCACACCTCCCTCAGTTAAACAGCTGACAATAATGTTATGTTAACATGATTTTTGCCAGCACTGATTCTATTCAAAAATTTCAAAGCACTTTACAAATTTACGGACATAACAGCACATGTGAGAAGGAATAATCATTTGGGAATGGATTATATAAAGCATTTTCTATTTGATTATCAAAATCTACACCTTGAATTGCTTTTGAGAATTAGTTGCTGGTCTCAACACTGGACAAGTGGACAGCCACATTTTGCAGAAGCATTTGAGTAGTTTCCAGGGGTACTGTAATCAAATGTAATCATTATTAATTTGGCCAAGTGGGGTTGTAAATCACAGAATCACCAAGGTTGGAAGAGACCTTCAAGATTGTCTAGTCCAGCTGTCAACCAGCACCACCATAATCACCCCTAAACCACATCCCCAAGTGCCACATGCAGATGCCTCTGAAACCTTCAAGAGACAGCGACTCCACCACCTCCCTGTGCAAGCTATTCCAATGCCTGACCACTCTTTCAGTGGTTTAATTTTTTTCTAGTATCTAATCTGAACCTCCCCTGACATAATTTAAGGCCATTTCCTCCCATCCTTTCACTTCAGTCGTGGCAGCAGATCCTGATCCCCACCTCACTGCAACCTCCTTTCAGGTAGTTGTAGAGACAGATAAGGTCTCCCCTGGTGAGGCCCCTACACTCCCTGCAGATAACAGAGAAGCTTCTGGAAGGGAGTTGAATTAGGAGCCTAAATAAGTTGGAAAAACACCCTGTCAAGTTTGCCAAGTGCATAGCAAGCAGTTATGAGAGGCTGGAGCTGAAGCAATTGTGTGTTATGGATAACAGAAGTGAGTGCAGGTGGCTGTGTGTGTCTGTCTGTCTGTCTGTCCCTCAGACGTGTTGTAGGTGGATAACAGAAGTGAGTGCAGGTGGCTATGTGTGTCTGTCCCTCAGACATGTTGTAGAGCATCCCATACATTATGGCCATTTTTAAGGACAGACTTTGGAAAAAGAGAATGTTTCTGTAAGTTTTAACTTTTTGCTACACATCTGGTAACACCTCCTATCCAAGAAACATACTTTGCCCTGAAAGGTTCCTTTTGCTACACATCTGGTAACACCTCCTGTCCCAGAAACATACTTTGCCCTGAAAGGTTCTGGGCTGCTATATAAATAATGTCAATATACTGTTTGTGGAGATCAGCCACTGACCCTGAAACAGATTTACCTCTGAATGCAACCAACAAACTTTCACCTTGCTGCCTTTAAAAATGAGAGCAAAAATCTCTTCTGAGTGAAACTGTCTAAAGGAGACCCAAACTTTCACCTTGCTGCCTTTAAAAAGGAGAGCAAAGATCTCTTCTAAAGGAGACTGAGAAGTAGTGAGCTGAAAATCAGAAGTTACTATTGCATTAGGCTTGTCAAAATCCTAACTTCATCCATCTTAGCATCTGAACTCTGGATATTAGTAACACAAGATACTATTAAAATTTTGCATTGCTGGATTTGTGCATGTATGCTTGAAATTATACTAAATTTAGTCCTGGATATGTGCAGCATTTTGAGTGAAAGAAGACATGAAATAATGTGGAGTTTAATTGATTGCAGGCAGCATGTTCATGGCAGGGAAGTGGAATTCATTTTTAAGGATTATGACTTGACTTCTGCAGTCCATTATATATTGCTGTGTACTGTCTGGCAGAAGAGACACAGCCTCAGAGCTTTGCAGTTGTTCACAATATCAGCTATAAGCATAAGGAAGACAGAACTGTTTTGTGGGGAAAGGAGGGTTGTTTCTGAAGGTTTCCATGCAATTCCATATTCTGTTTTGCATTTCTTCCAAAGAACTGAGCTTGATTTTAACCTTTAAAGAAACATGATATGGGTTCCCATTATTAATAGCTGTAAATGACACATGTGCAAGCTTTTTAGAAGGAAAGGGTTTTATATGTTGAATCTTTTAATCTCAAACACGTGAAATGTGAATATCTGTAAATATCTTGACAGACTAAGCTGACAGCATTTTT